AAAAAAAAAAATTAAATACAGAGCATAAAGATATAAATTTATACTTTTTGGAAGGGAATAAGACAATGCAAAGAAACTTTATTTTGAGTACTTCATCACATGATGAATGTTTTCTTTATTAAATGCAGCAGCCAAGATTGCATTATAAAGCAGTGTGAATTAAGGGACTTAAATTCAGTAGAATCCTTGCTTGTTAGAAGTGATATAACAAAAAACTGTTCTGGTTTGGGGAAAGCTCCTGTGTGTTCTGTGTCTCTTTAAGGACTCAACAAAGTCGTCTTGTCCAACAATGATGTTTCAGGTTTAAAATGATTTCTTCCAAATAAAACTTTGTGCTAGGTTGCTTTGGGTTTGGGGCACATTTGGGATTCTCTGTATATTAAGGTGAGTGGTGGAGGGTAATTGCAATTCTGATTTCTTGGAACTGTGGATTAGGGGAACAACAGGCCGCTGCAAAAGCAGTGTGATGGAATTATCTAGGGAACTGAGAGTCTGGGTAGTCACTGGAGTTACTACATGAGTTGTGGAAGGCAATGTAAGCCCCCACAGAATGCTGAGAGACAGAAATTTAAGGGAGGAAGAGGCTAGACTTGGGCTTGTTTTTTTCCAAAGGATGGTCACATGCAACTTATGTTAAACGGTTGTAAGGCAGGTAAGGCTGTTTTCACAGGTGGATTGAGTACAGTGTGTAAATTTTTTTTGTTGTTTGGAGTACAGACTAATCCCCTTCCTGGATTAGTTGTTTCCAGGCTTTTCTGATTATCTTTCCTTCTGTAGAAGGGACTTCAGATATTTTCACCTATATAGAAGGCTTTTTGATTATTAATATTGTTTTGCTTACTGTTGAGATAGCAAAACAATAAAACTTGCTTACAGGAGACTAGCAACCAAACTATGCCCATAACTTAGAAAAAGATAAAAACATTAACACATGCTTTGTACATTTTTTGTTATACAGAAAATGGATTAATAGCCATAGTTCCATAAGGAATTTATGAGACTAAATATGTCTGAACAGGAGAATCCTCTTGGTTTGTTTCTTCGCGGAAATGAAAGTGGTGACGGTGCTGATGAAAGAGGTGGACAACATTTTGCCCACATTTAACATCTTGTTCTTTTTAATCTTTCAGTATTCTACCTTGTAAATACTGTTATTTGTATATACTGTAAATGATGACATCGGTGGGCACTAACCGAGCCCGGGGAAACTGGGAACAGCCTCAAAACCAAAACCAGACACAGCACAAGCAGCGGCCACAGGTAAAGAACCGAGGGATCTGGAGCTGCGGACCCATGGGTAGCCTTGCTGGTTGATAACTGGTTTCTATCCAGCGCACCATCGTTTTGTGCTTTGGATCATTGATTTGCTTTCTTTATTCTTATTTTCTAGTCCTTGCCTCTTTTCACTTGGGCTCTGATAGCTGTTAATGACGTTGTGTGATGCAGTGTACTTTTTATTGTTTGATGCTGAATTATGAAGCTTGGAAAGTATGGGTCTCGTGCTTTGTATCTCTAAGAGAGCCTTTCCCTTCTTTCATCTGGGTCGTTTTAGCAACACATTTCTTACTTCCTAGACTTTCCACCTTGACATCTCTCTAGTCCACCTTCGTCTTGCCACCTTTCCCCTTTCCTCTGCTCTTCTTTTCCTAACTTATTTTTTATCTTTCTCTCTGGTCTCATTGAGGCCTAATCTGATTTTTCCTTTTCCATGAGGAGTTAGCATCTTTACTGTGTTTCATCAAAATTAACAAATGAGACACCCTAGAGTATTTATTGCTCAGTTTTAAGGAGTAAATTAGCCTCCTGGGTACTGAAGCTTTTGTTTTGTTTCTTAAGTTTGATTTAGATAGGATCTGTTTTCTTGTGTAGCGTTGGTTGGTACCTAACGTGAATGAATTAACTTCCCATTTGATTATGGTCAGATAAATTGAAGCTGTAAGACTAGAACTTCTCTCACATTCATTCTTTTACTTCTCCTAAGTGAATTTCTAGCAGAATTTTAGTACATGAGTACTTTAGTTGTCTCAGTTGAGACAGCAGAATTTGTGGTGTCTACAAACACACACTGGATACTCAGAAGATGTGCTGAGTCTGTCCTCAGACTAAACCTTATGGTTTTCGCAGTCCTAGGAGTAAGAGGGTGGCATTGGTTATTGCAGAAACGGGAACAGGATTTACATATGACTTTGCAAATATATTAGTGTGAATTAAGGTGCAGATGTTTCAAAGTTGTGTTGTGATCCCAACATGAAAGCCTCTTTGACAGGAAACAGTGACGGGAAAGCTTCTTGCTTTTTAGGGATTGTAGAGTGAGATAGTGGCAACTTTACTCTTTGTTTTTTGTCATTTTGCTGATTGAAGCATATTAAACGGTGTAAGTCTTATTGGTCATTTGTAACAAGGAGAAGGAAGTTGGGGTGGGAGGTGGGTGGGCTGTTGACTGCATAGGTCCCTCTTATTTTCTAAACTATTGCTTGTCGATCATGCTTTCTTGAACTTGTCTCCCTTTTTAGGCCACTGCAGAACAAATTCGACTTGCACAGATGATTTCGGACCATAACGATGCTGACTTTGAGGAAAAAGTGAAACAAGTGAGTACATTGCTGATTTGCTGTAAGCTATGGCAAAGGGCATCAGGGTTAAAGCGTAGTTAACTAGCATAGGTGCCTACCAGCCTGCTTTCTGCTGTAGAGATTAAAGGAATTGTGGCCTGAAATAGGATAAGTTAGGCTAATAGATGCTTTTATCGTCTGATTTACTCTATCCTTTAGGACAGATACCTCGTTCGAAAAGGTTTTGTCTTCATTTTAACTTCCTGTTTAATGAATGAATGAATGACATTGTTAGTGCCACTTTAATAGCACCTTTGAGTAGTTGTGGCATCAAAGAAATGTGGCAATTCACAGTATGCTGAAGCCTGTGTGTTTCTGAGTTTGAGTCTCTTAGATGCTTATTGTTCGATTGCTTTGTTTGTAAGTCCTTTTGACCCCATTTTTGATGACAGGTGTTAATATTTTGCTTTTGGAACTATGACACCAAGTTCTGCATGTTTTGCTTTTTAAAGCCTGGTTCTTTCAAACACAGCTGGTGTTTCTTCTCTTTTTCTGTTCTTCACCTAGTTTTCTTTTGTGGGGAGTGCAGGCTTGTTCATGATCGCTGCTGATCTTTCTCTTTCAGTTGATTGATATCACAGGCAAGAACCAGGATGAATGTGTCATTGCTTTGCATGACTGCAATGGAGATGTCAACAGAGCCATCAATGTACTGCTGGAAGGAAACCCAGATACGGTAGAGTGCCGATAAAGTGTTCTAGAAAGTGGGTCCCTGGCCGAGAGACTAGAAAGGTTACACAAAATAGCCAGTGGGGAAACTCAGTTTAAAGCAGAGTACCTTGTCCTCCAAATAGAACTGGGAACTACCTTGGATATTGTTTGCTGAAGGTTGCAGATACTTAAAATTCATGAACAGCAAACGGGAAAATATAAAATTAGTCTCTTCTAATTGGCCTGGAATAAATTATTCACTCCAGACTAGTGACTGTATTCAGCCCTGGCTTACGCTGAATTAGAGGTGCTGTTTCATAGCCTTGGTTAGTAGTCATGGGAGACTTCCATTTACTTGTTTTATTGCTATTGAGCAAAGTTACTATTGGAGTCCGATTTGAGGACAGTCCCATCGATGTCAGCTTTACAGTTTATAATACTTTTTCATCATGTGGACTTATTTCTGTTGAGGTAGCAGAGAAACTTCATAGCCTGTTGACCATCCCTGGAGATGTTGGGGGATAACTCGCAGGACCTCTTGCCCTAGAATTTAGAGTTGCCTTCACCTCTTCCTCTCCTTCCCATTTAATGAGAATCTTTATTTTTGTGTTTGTCTTATCACTGTACCAAATCATAAGTCCTTTAACAGGGATTCTGCCTTACTAACTTTTGGGATGTTCCTGCAGTGCTTAGTAGAGAACTTGATTTTTTTTTTTAATAAGCAGTATATCATTTTGAGGTCATTTCCATTTTCTTGGTCTCACACTGAGGGCCTTAGGTTGGGATAGATAGCCAGAGTTCATACTTAGAGTGATCAGCCTACTGGTATTCCAGTGTCTCTTTAGCTAAATGTTACAGGTTTGTCAGTTTCCTTAAGACAATGGAAATAATCATGGGACAGTTTTTTAATCATTGAATTTAAATTTGTGGCTTTTTCTCTTAAAAGTGTGGCCTTAGGTTAGATTTTACATTTTTTATTTTATTTGAAACTTACTGCTTAGGCAATAAGATAACAGTGCCTTTGGATCATTTTGAGTTTATTTTAGTGTAATTGTCTCAAGATTTTGGGGGGGTTGGAAGAGGTGGGATTACTTGTGCTTTGTGAATGCCTTGATTTTTGTTCACAAGTCACATTTTGTTTCACCTGGCATCTGCCTAGTGCTATAAGTCTGACCTTCCAGTATCAAAAAAGAATATAAGCTGGAGAAAAGTATGCTTATGCCACAAATAAATCAGCTACCGGTGAAATCAGTGGGAAGAAAGTCAGCTGCTGGGATATTGGATGTATTTGGGTGGATGAGATCATATCAGAAAACTGGCAATACCTTTGAGAAGATCCTAGTAATTCTCTTTTCTTACAGAACTCTCTGGTGCCAGCAGCTGATGTGTACTCTAGAGGAAGAAGGTGACAGGTTTCTAAAACTTGCCAGGTTTTGAGACAGGCTAGTAAACACTAGGAAAGCTAACTGTTTTGAGTCTGGTTTCCAAGATTTCTGATGCAGATTTAGTTGTAGGGTTACTATAACTTAAGAATTGAAGCTACTGTGAGCATAAAATGCTCACCAGCTATAATGCAGAATCAGCTTGGGTAGGAAGAGTAGGCAGCAAGGAGCTGCCAAGTCCTAGGTGGATACTTAATCTTTTTTCTTTAATTATTACTTTTGCGAACTATTTATTATAGACTTTAGACTATTTTATGTATCTTGGCTATAATTAAAAAAATTTATTTTGAACTTAAATATAAACGGTATACTTAAAATTTACCATTTGCACCATTTTTAAGTGTATTATTTAGTGGCATTAAGTATACTGAAAAAGTTATGCCACCAACAGTGCTATCTATTTCCAGAAATTTTTCATTTCCCAAGCTGAATCCAAAACAGATTTTCTGTATCCATTAAATAGTAACTCCCCGTTTCTCCCTCCCGCCAGCTCCTGGTAACCTCTTCTATTTTCTGAATCTATGAATCTGCCTATTCGAGGTACCTCATATCAGTAGAATCATGCAATTTTTGTCCTTTTGTGTCTTAGTTCAGTTAGCATAATGTTTTCAAGGTTTATATTGTGGCATATATCAGAATTCCACTCCTTTAAGGCTGGATAATCTAATATGTGTGTGTCCCCATTTTGTTTATTTATCCATTAGTGGGTACTTGGAATTATTTGGAAGTAAGTTATAGGCATCATAATACTTTATTTCCTAAATGTTTGAGCATGCTTCCCTTAAAGAAGGCTACTCAGGAACACTCTTTGATATGATCACAGTATTTTTATCAACTGAGAAAATTAATAGTAATTTCATATTATACCTTGTTTGTATTCTTGGTGTTTGTCTTGGAACTTTTATTTGTACATATTTCCTGAAGAAATATGTGTAAATCAGGGTATGTGTACGTTTAAAACATTCATCTCATTTTCTTGAAGGATAAATGTTTTGCAAGACCGATTGTTTGGCTCATTTTCCTTACCACAAATTTTCCTTTCTACGGTCTGGAATAAATCATAGATTATAGTGTTTGAGGAAAGTTGAATTAGATTATATCAGTTTAGGAGGTACAGGGGAGAACAGAGTGGATAAAACCTAGAATGTAAAGCTCCTTATAGTCAGCATGTCTCGGCACCAGAGCCGCCAGAGCCGCGCCTTCCTGACTGCTGTTTGGTCTTCTTTTAAGTAAAGGAAATTGGGGGGTAGGGTGGAGCTGGGTAGTAGGTATAGTTGTTTTCCTCCTAAATTTTGAGTTGCTTGATTAGCGAATGTGCCCAAAAGTCGAATGCTGCTTACTCATTCTGAATTTAAAGTTAACTTTTAGAAACTTTTTTTCTTTTTTGGTTTATTTCACATGAATAGACTATAAAAATTTGAGAGTCACTGAATCCAAAGGAAATTAGTTTTTTCAGCTCAGGAAACACATTTGAAAGCTAGGGACCAGTCACTTCGTCCTTTGACCGATATGCCAAGTGACTGAACTAGATCGCGATCTTGTGATCCTTTTAGAAGTGACCCCTGAGTCTGTTAGCTAGAAGCTCATCCCCTACAAAAAGGAATTCAGTTTTGCAGTGACAGAATTTGTTTTGAGGTTCTGTCTACCCTCCATTTAAACAAGTAAACTGGAAGGAGTGTCTTAGACATGGATGCTGAGTGGAGAACGGTGAACAGTTGTCCCCGCTTTTATCTCTGCTTTCCTGATAGCAATCCCTGTTGATTAGATGTGAATGCTCTGCTCTTCTTTAGCATTCCTGGGAGATGGTCGGGAAGAAGAAGGGAGTTTCAGGACAGAAGGATGGTGGCCAGACGGAGTCCAACGAGGAAGGCAAAGAAAATCGAGACCGGGACAGAGACTATAGTCGGCGACGTGGTGGGCCACCAAGACGTGGGCGAGGTGCCAGCCGTGGACGAGAGTGTATGCATGGGGCTTTAACAAAACCAGCTGTGGGTCAGTAATGTCTAGATTCAGGGGTGTCAGGGCCTTGCCAGGCTGGACCTGTAATCATTGTATCACCCTTTTGATTTTTCTTGCCATCGTCTGTTCTGAGACTTGGTATCTCTTACATGCAGCCTTTTCTAGCAGCAGCCACCAGTTTGGCATGAGGTTACCCTGGAATGATTTGTAAAGTTGTCTGACGGACAGCTCTCTGTTGTGGTCCATCACCGTCCCCCTAGTAACAGTTGTATCCCATCCTTCCAGCTCATTTTCTTTGTCTTCTCACCAGCACATGTACATACCTCTTCTGTTGAATCCGCTCTGGCCATCTGTTTCATTTTGTTTATTTTTTCCCTAGTTCGGGGTCAGGAAAATGGATTGGATGGCACCAAGAGTGGAGGGCCTTCTGGAAGAGGCACAGAAAGAGGGCGAAGAGGTCGCGGACGAGGCAGAGGTGATTAATTTATTGTAGGTTGGATATTGGGGCAAGGCACTCTTACTAGTTTTGTAGGGGTTCACATTTAGAAACAGATTCACATGGAGTCTGGTTTCTTGAATTGTTGAAGTGTCATGCAAATTCTAGAGATTCCTAAGTGGGCAGTGTGGAGAAGATGGATGTCATTTCCTCAAGTCTTTATTATTACTGACTATATTTGAGGACCCAACAATTTGATCAGGAGAGAAACAGTCTGTCAATAGTAATGATTATCCTACTATTTTATATTAACTAATGTACTACAGAGTGACAAAGATTTCTAACAACATCAACCATACTATTCCATAGCTGTCTCATTAGTTGGCAAAGTAGTTTTGTATCAACTTACTAAAATATTCTTTCTTTTTCCATAGGTGGCTCCGGTAGGCGGGGAGGAAGGTTTTCTGCTCAAGGAATGGGGTAAGTTTCCTTGGTCCAGTGTCAAAGTCTTTAATTTTTTTTTTCCCCCAAGCATCACCATAACGTTCTAGCGTGGTTAGTATCCTGATTTCCTGAGGATAATAGTAGGCAGCCTTAACCAAAATGTAATCAGAAAGATGTCTAGACTTAGGACTTGTTTTTTAGGGATAAGCGTTTACCACCTGGATCATTTTATTTCATAGTTTCATTTGCATACAGTTGCTTTCTTCCCAAAATCTTTATGTGGATTTTGTTTTGATTATTGTTGTCCTAACCTAAAATAAATAGTAGATATAAATTAAGATTATACCATGAAATTTCAGGTAGGCTTATGAGTGGGCAAAGTTGACAGCATAGCATATAGGATTATATGATTGATTAGTGCGAGGAGAGAGAGGCCGGATTCTTATTGCCCTCCTTTTTGAGTTAATTTTTTGCTGGTGCTGCTCAGGTGTCGGGGACTCTCTTTAAGCTTTATTTTGTTGTTGTTCAACCCCTCCCCCGCCCCCAGAACCTTTAACCCAGCCGATTATGCAGAGCCAGCCAATACTGAAGATAACTATGGCAATAATAGCGGCAATACGTGGAACAACACTGGCCACTTCGAGCCAGATGATGGGACGAGTGAGTGACCGTTTATTATTTCCTGCCTCTGGGAACCTAAGGAATAACTTTTTTGAGGTTATAGTCACATAAAAAAGTGGAGGAAAAGCAGAGATGGGAATAAAGGGATGGCGATCGAAGTGCTCTGTGTTCCCTCCTTCGTGCCTGTGGGCACAGTAGACTAGCTGTTTCACCTGATCTTCATCACTATTTTATGAAATAGATATTTCTCAT